TATGGTTATGGACTCGTTAGTTCAATATGGAACAGCTGGAGTAGGTTTGTCAACTTTAAAGATCTTCTTTTGTTGAATCTGCCTTTTTTCACCTCACAGCTCTGTCTAACATAAACTGTAACATTGCTTTTTACGTTTTTAAAGCCAACCAGAGATTGTTCTAAATTCTACAAACTGATACTTTCCTCAGTTGACCAGACCATTGTAATCCTAAGTGCTTGGACAAGAGACAGCTAAACGTTCTTTTTTTGTACATATTAAAGACCTTTCATTTAACACGTTTCTTCAAAGAAAAAGTAAAATGTCTTTCAGAACCAATAAGAAGCCATGTCCTGATGCATCTCAGTAATCCAGGTAGAAAAAATCAAAAAGAAAAAATAAGTAGGTCCTCTGGATGGGTTCTTCTTTAGTGAAACGTTTCGTCTCTCGTCCAAGACACTTCTTCAGTCTGATGAGTTTCAGGTGTACTCAGCCTTATAAGCACTACCTCCACATGGACAAACAGGTTAGTCACATGCAAAAGAGGGCCATCGCCTAAGAATAGGCTTGATTATCTATTGTTCGTAGAGGGTCATGTGCCCCATRACCTGACCCGTGTCGTGTTATGTGTATGTAGTGAATGCAAGTGGGGGTTCAACGTCCCCTTGTTTTTGTCCCTCTTTCCCTCTTTGTGTTGGTTATCGTTGGGGTCCTGATTCACACCTTTTGCTCACAGGGGGCTGAGTCATACTTGCAATGATTGCTAATCAAGCCTATTGTTAGGCTATGGCCCTCCTGACTAACCTGTTTGTCCATGTGGAGGCAGTGCTTATAAGGCTGAGTTTCACCTGAAACTCATCAGACTGAAGAAGTCTCTTGGAGGAGAGATGAAACGTTTCACCAAAGAAGAACCCATCCAGAGGTCCTACTTGTTTTTTCTTTTTGATCAATAAGAAGCCAATTTCCCTACTTTTGAAGCGCAACTAGCCTACCTACTTCACCAGTGGTTTAAGAGTTCAGCTGTTGGTCCTGTGGTGGACTGGTGATCCGTCCTATGCCTTCTGGCTCCCCGCCACAAAAGAACACAGTGGGTACAGAAAATATAATTTTTTTTAAACAATGGCGAAACTATGAAGCGGAACTCACATCCTCATAAATTCTTTATAAAGCAATAAATAAAACATGTTAGTGAATCTMCCCCATGCGTACATGAACTCCAACCATTTGGTTAGCATGCCGCTAATGGCATTTCCAAATAAAAAGACGAGGATTCCAGGCTGACSTTTTAAAGCAGTGCCTGCGCATTTTAAGAAGCTGCACTGTGGAGTGTGACTCCTATAGCTGCAGCCTGCATGGTGGCCCTGCTAGGCTTTGAGGGTGGTGGGTGGGGGGCATTCAAGTGCGCACTGCAGCAGCCGACACAATGCCGACGATTGTACTGCATCACTTCTTTTCACRCGCTTAACTCTTCGCTCACCGTTACCACTTTTTTGCTCTCCACCCTCACTTCCAGTCTAATCCCGCCCACTTCTCAGACRTGACTTTCAGTAATGAGTTGATTCTTTATTTTTCTTAATACAAAATTTCCCCAACATCATCTTGGGTCGCGCTAGCTGCCTTCTGGTTAATGCTACGACCCTTTGCACACTGCATGTCACTCAGAATGCAAACCACGGCTCCTGGAAATGCCACTAAGGGCTGGCGAGGCATTATTCAGGGCACTGCCAAGAGGCTCCGCTCCTCGTCTCTTTCATACACAATCCATCGCTCTGCTCTGTATGGGCCTGTTACCAAGGGAACAGCAGGAAAATATTTTGCTTGTGAAGCAAACGGTTGATAAGATGAAGGCGAAGGGGAGCAAAGTAAAAGACAAAAAAGAGGTCAAAATGCGAAGAGAAAGTGGAAGACAAGTGGAGGGGGGAAAGAGGATTGATTGAATAACTGTCATAGATGAGGGTGGATGGAAAGCTGCAGTGACCTTCTACTTAGCTGGCTTCTACTCAAGCCAGATCCTCCTATTTTCCTTTCTAACAACTTCCTGTCATGCACGCTCTATTACTGTACTTATTGCTAGGCTGTGCTCGGTACTTACTCATCGACAGAAACACCCAGCCAGAACAATCTGTACTGCAAGCAAAAGCAGTTCAACYTCTTTACCAAGTAATTATTCAGGTGTAACTTGGAAAAGAAAAAGATGAATAAATCATTAGGAAAGAGAAGGTTCTGTAATCCTTTGATATAWTGTCAAACTATTTTTGTGTGCATGTTTGAGACCTAATATGTGGAATTCCCTAGAGATCAACTCTAAAAGTAATTTCTACAAATTCTGCATAATCTAAACCTAAAGCACGAAGGTCTGCGGGTTGTTTTCGCTCCTTTAAAAAATGATAGACCTTTAATTTTGAAAATCTTAAATTTGGGTAAATAAAATCTCCTGTTTTTTTACATACCAGGAGATTACATTTCTGAAGTGTTGTGGATTTTACATAGCAAAATTAACTTCAGTAATAAAACAAACAAAAACCAGAAGAAACTTTTTGGTTTTTTAATAAATTTTCAGTTGAGGTGTAATTGCCGTAATTATTCMTGTATAATACGATCTCATGTATAATACGACTCCCCCTTGTTTGAGCTTAAAAAGCATAAAAAATTTAATCCTCAAACTACCTCCAGTTTTATACAGACTTCAAGATTTTTCAGCCTTTGCAGTCTTTATATATATCAGTAAAATGATCATTGGACTGTTCGTTTTATTTTATCAACATATGTAAAATGGTAAATGGACTGTACTTATATTACGCCTTTCTATCCATCCAGGACACTCAAAGTGCTTCACACTACAGACATTCACCCATGCACACACATTCACATTAATGATAGCAAACTACAATTGTAGCCACAGCTGCCCTGGGYKYCACTGACAGAGGCGAGGCTGCCATACACAGGTGCCACCGGATCCCCTGACCACCATCAGTAGGCAAGGCAGGTAAGGTGTCTTGCCCAAGGACACAACAACTGAGTCGACTGGATGGGGATAGAACCGGCAACCTTCCGGTTCCAGGACGACTCCCTTAACCACTGTACCCCAGCTGCCCCGTATGTACTAAAAGGTATTTTGACAACAAATATAWATCAGCTGTAGCAGCATCATATGAATTCTGGCATTTTACACAGAGTCCACCAGGATGRGCCAACACAAAAGTCAGAGACTTCACATGAGATTTGGGCCATCTTCAAGCAGATACAAGCAGATTACTTCCTACTCGTGAGCGCCCCCTCTGGTGGGGAAACTTTTTCTCAGGGATACAAACTTTTTCAGAACACCGGTAGACGGCAGCCATTACAGACGAACATGTGTTTGTTGTTGTTCTAGAAGCGGCCCGGTCACACGCTAATGTCATTAGTTCGTTATCATTACTAAGGTGCAGGACTACCTTTTTCCCCCCTTTTTTTCACATCATGTCGCCTGCCTTGATCTGTTATTATCTCGCTCTGAAGCACGAAGGAGTGTCAGAGGTATGTTCGCTTCAACTGCTTTTCACGACGCGGTCTCATTTCCGGACTCAGGCATTTTGTGAATGAAGCCGACATTTCAGTTAAAATACATAAGTAAAAATATTTATCCGAGTATAGTACTACCCTCCCAATTTTATGGATGATTTTATGGATTTAATTTTACGTTTTATACTTTAATAAATATGGTATTCAACGACAAGCAGATGTTTTTGCTATTATGCAAAAAAAGAAAAGCTGTGTTYGACTTGCACAACTTCTTTGTTTCCACTTTGAGCAGGTCATGACGCAAATCTGGAACGAGCACCGTCAATCTCAAGTCAAAAGAGCAAAAGTCACTGAGGTGACTGTTTAAAACACAGGGTCAAGATTGTGTAAACTGTCTAGGAGTGCATTGAGGACGAGGTGTATGAAATAAATGAGGTGAGTGAGGTCATGGAGTTAATAGTTTAGGAAAATACAGAACTTTTCATACTGTTGTGGATGAAAATAAAGAACTAAAACCCACAAAAAGCTGCAAATAAAAGAGGGGAAAAGAAGAGCTGCTTTGTGCATATTTCTTATCACTCATTTTCAGAGGTGCCATCGTTAGTCTTGTTGATTAAGCTGCGAGTGCAAACGTAAAACAGACTGCAAGGGTCACCTTTCACCTAATTTCCCCTTGGGGGAGTAGTAATATGCCTGCTTCTTAAACCAGATCTGACAAGAGCTATCATGGATCTATTTTCCATGTGAGACATAACAGTTTACACTGGTTGCCATGTGGAAAACTATCCAAAGCTGAGATCTGGCATCAGTTTAGGGCCTTTTCGCCAATCCTTTTAAAAACAAATCTGCTCTGCATTGTCTGGAGGTGTTACATTGTAAATCCTAACAGTACTGACACCAAACCCTGCAAAAAGAAGTCAATGTGACGGATTATGAGGCTAAAAAAAACACAGACAGAGACAACAGAATGTCATTCAAAGTTACTGCTATGGGTTTGCTTGTTTTTTGTTGTTGTTGTTTTTTACTCTAATGCGGTGTTTTTTTTCTATGCAGCTCATGTGGTATGAGAGATCAGATAATGGGAGTAGAAARAAACAAAAAGAACTCCCCTCTACCATGCCAGCGTCACATTTGTGTGGTCAAAGTGATGGTAGAAAATGCTGGCTGAGATAAAGCGATGGCAGGAGCGATACAGCCTCTTTTCCTCCCAGGTACTAGTGGCATGAAAGCAGGAACCTCCCCCTTCCTCCATGTGCTGGAAAATCACATGGCTTATCCTGACACGCTACCTGTGGTGTGTGCGTGCGTGTGTGTTTGTGTGTTTGTCTGCCCACATGTCGGCATTACAGACACAAAGATAAAGCAGAGCAGAAAAGACACAACCAATAAGCCACAGCCTCACTTGACGTCATTAGACTGACGCTCATACTAAAGGTTACCTGCAGGCTGTGTTTACCCTGAGATGTACTGAGATAAACCCCCACCGTGACCCTGCTGTACGACCCCAAATCTGCTCTCACCTTGGTGCGTCCATTGATGACACAGTCCCCCAGCTGTCCATTGGCAGCGCTGTACATGACCACCTCATCGATGCGTGCCATCAGCTCCCCGATGCTGCCACACCCGGGCTCCTGCCCCTCCACCCACGCGATCTGGTCTCCCCTGATGTTCCGAGAGGGAATGCTTTTCTGGCTCACCAGCTGCCCGCCCCGAAACTTCCCACTGCGGTTCAGAACACCCACCTCCTCCAGGACCCTGTCGCCAAACTGCGGCCCCAGGAAGTTGTCCTTCACGCAAATGCCATAGTCCTTCATGCAGGGGATGATGTATTGCTTGGCGATGTGCTGCGCGGACCAGCCGGCGCCTCCTGCGGCCTGCCGCAGTGCCGGGGCGGGGGTCATCAGACCGGGTGCAGCTGGTGAGTCTGGGGGTGCCACGTAGTGTTCCTTGTGCTGGTTAGCATGAGAAGAGGGAGCAACCCGGGTCACTCTGGGGGTCTCTGACGACTTGTCTGGCAGCTTCCTCCTCTTCAAGTCAGAGTCTCCTGAGGAGAAAACCAGGTCTGCCGAGCTGCCTAACCCAGGTGACCCCATCACGTGACCTTTGTGAATCTCTGACCCAAAATCCCGGTTTTCCCCACACCGCCGCTTCTGCTGCTGGGCCTGCCTGACCTTCAGGTCACCGTTGAACCTCCGGGTTAGCAAAGTGCAGCTCTCCTGAGCAACTCTGTCCCCGTTTTCCAGCAGACAGCCTCTGCCGGTGAGAGGGCACGCGGGGCCACTTGTCTGCGCGCCCATCCCGCTCACCTGTGCGGGGTAGCCCTGCGGGGTGTGCGCCAACACACCGGCCTGGTTCGCCTCCACAGTGGCGGAGGGAGACACCACCCCTCCGTTGTAGAGAGGCGGCACGCCACTTTTAGACTGCTTCGTCGGGGTGGTGATGCCGGGCGAGTTGGTCTGAGAGGCCATGTCCGCGAGCAGCTCCGCGGCCGTCTGACTTCCGACAGGCACCGCGCAGAAACCGTTAAGCCCCATATCCGCCTGGTAGTGGAGCTCCGCCGGCCCAGAAGAAGAGACGAGCCGCCGCCGCTGCTGCTGCTGCTGCTGCCCGCCGCTCGTCCTCCGTCTCTCCTGTGGCTCTGAGAAAGCGACGGTCCCGCGGGGAGAGCTGGGCTTTAAAAGCTCCGTCAGCCCCAAACTCTCCATTTCATCTCATCGTCTGCCGGATGCGCACGTACCTCACGTCCTCGCCTCATTTTCCAACCGAGCCGCCGCTTTGCCTGARAGAGAGGAGCTGAGCTGCGACCGCTCCAAGTTTCATCCTCCTCCCGGACTGGATTTTCACCCACTTTTACAGCTGCGGGATCCTTTCTGTCCGCCTTTCGGTAACTGTAACACAACGCGGGACATCTGCGGAGAGTAAAATGATAGATTTTAGGGCTAAAAATAGCGCAGTCCTTGCAGACCACCTGTCACATTAAACACGTTCAATACGTTTAAAAAAAAAGGCCAAACTATCTGCTGCACTGCTTCTGATTTTATCTTAAAAGGCACAAAAACAAAATACCAAGCATAACAACGTTGTATTATCACCACAATCATACGCAGTCATTACATTACGATGTTTAGCCTTTTCTTTGCATTTTTGCGACATAATTTTAAACGTTTAGGAAACAGACGAGGCCTAAAACAAACCACTTTTGTCGTAGTTATGACAAAAATAAGACTTAATGTTTACATTTGGCAACACGTATGAACTAATTCTACTTTTAAAACAAGCTTTCCTGTTTTAATTATATTTCAATTACACACTTACTGGAACTGAATTTTCACCTTTCTGCGATTATCATCAATTTAGAAAGCTCATACCTCCTACAAAATAAGATTATAGCTTAAATAATTTGTCAAGTCTATTTAAACAGACTTATAATGTTCAAAATAAGTTTTCATGCGGGGTTAACGACGTCAAGAAAGCATCTCTGTCCTTCTCTTACCGACGACAGCTTTACACCYTGAATCCTCAGCGAGCGTACGTGACAGGCTGAGAGTACGCATGTTACTTCCGGGTTTGTCTCGATCGCCTGCGCGTGCCATCCAGCAATTTCGGTGCCGGTTATAAATAATACCCCAGGTGGTGAGGGCGAACCGACAGCGCTCTAACCGTAAACCCGACCGATACGAGGGAGGGGGATGCTCTGAAGCCACTCAAAGTTCGTCCTACCCGCCCGCACGAACCATCTCGCCAATTAAAAAGAAAGAAAGAAAGAAATAAAAACAGCGCGCGCTCGCAATGTTGTAGAAGGGCGCCCCCTCCCTCCTCCTCCTCCTCTCGCGCCTGTCGTTCGCATGGATACGAGTCACGTGACCTGCCTCCACGGCCGAGCAAAAGCCTGTCATAACAGAAAATAAAAGAGCGCTACTTTTTGTGGCCTTTGCACGTAAATGGACATTTCACAAGGCGAAAAGCCTATTAACTGCATTAATGGCATTTCATGAAACAACACTCATCACCCCTCTGCCTTTTGTGCCAGGGCAACATCTCTCATTTGTTGTTTTTAAGTTTTGAATTTAAATTAAGCAGTTCGTATAAATAAAAAAGGAAAAGAGTTGTTAAACATGCTTATACTTGAATACTTGACATTGTTACTATTTTTGTTTTGGGAGGGCCACAAAGGCCACCCCAAAATCTCTGGATTTTAATTTAACAGGTTCTAAGGAATACATACTAGGAACAAAATAATGACCATTGAAGTAGTTTTGTATTTGATTACTTTTTATTGCTGCAGAAGAACAATCTTGACACTGTTAAAGCGTCACATGCAAAACTGTCTAGTTAATTTACTAATAAAGTCTCGTGGTTTCTGCTGCTCTCGTGTGATAAGTGCTGCTTTTGAACTTTGACAAAGTGCGATAAACTGTTTTATCTAATGTCTCGTTTGCCTGTTCCTCTCTTTATCTCCGCTGTTCTCGTGCTGTTTCTCACTGACAATTRCTGATCAACTGGATGTTGATACACAAAAATCATGAGATCTGAGATTCAGAAAACAGTTGCCATGTGATGCGTGTAGGAATATTTGCAGTTTTATCTGTTTTATTTGGCCATCACCTCCCGGGTGATAATGTTTTTATCCACTTTTGTTCATGTGCCTGTCAAGTTAGCAAAATACAGTATCTCATGAACCACTGGTGGAGCCATTCAGCKTGGCTGCAGCTTATTGATCTTAGCCAGCACAAAAATGACCATAGTCTGTTTAAAACACAAGCAGAATTTGAGCTGAGTCATTCCTAATACAGACTCTGAGAATCTGCAGTGTTTGATTTGAGCTAAAACAAAGAAACTGACAGACTCATTTTTATTACAAACTGTAAAATCTGCACTGATGTCACTTAGACCCTCAGAAGGAGTCAGGTAAGTTTCAGAACTGATGAATGAATCCTTTTTGTACAGAAGAAGCTATCATAAGTCAGCCATTTTGACTGATCGTGTGACAACGTGTTCGCTGAGTCATCAAACTCAAGCAAGCAAAGGACTCTGGTCAGAGATTAAAACATGATTCATGCTTTTATAGATACACCTGTGTAGGCAAAAACAGACAATAGTTAGACTTTACTGCAGCTTTGACCTAAAACATTTGATAAAAGCAGTGAAGATTTGTTGGCCTTTTAATTTTTTTAAACATCATTCAACTTAAAATTAATAATCAAGTAAAACTTCATGTAATATCTAAAAAAAAAACACTGGGCAGATTTTAATAACATTTTCAGGAAGTAATGATTTGATACAAGTGAACCTAATTCAAGATGGCACAAAAAGGTATGTAATGAGTAAAATTTGGATACATTTTAGCTGAAACTTATTCACAACACACATTCCAAAAACAATGGCATTAGCTATGARAGTCTGTCTGTTAGCAAAACATCTCCTAAATCGCCGAACAGATTTTAACTAAAAAGGAATCACCAGATGCAAACCTACGGCTGATTAAATTTTGAAATCAAACAAATTCAAGAGGGATGCCTCAACGTTAGCCATCACAGAAATTATAATGACTCAACTAATTTTGCAGATAGATGTTGAAGTAAAATTAGATGTGGTGGTAGTTGAGAGTCATTTAAAGCACACAATCTGAGTGTGAGATCTCATATATTATTCGTTTCAACATATCTCAGCCTAAAACTCTGTCATCCCTCCCTTTAAGGACTGGGAGGCCTTTTATTTCACATTTGTGTATTTATGTATTCACGTATTAGCTTGGTTTTTGACAGAGCCATGAAATTCCTAAGTTTAACTTGGTATCGTTGGAATACAATCAGTTGTTTCTGCACGTGTCCATGTGCCTGTCCTGCATGCAGAGCGAGGTCTGTGCAGGAAGTTCCTTCTTCAACACAGTCGGTTCCAAAGAACTCGTTGGTCATCTGTCACCTGCATGGAAACAATAAACATCCTTCTTACAGTCAGATCTGGAGGGGCTCAGAGACCAGACTTAGTCGCTGAGGTCTTTCAACTCTTCAGACTTTTGGTCACCTCTAATTTTCTTTGTCAATAACTAAAGTTATGACTAACTTGTATTATCATCATCATCACCAGAAATATAATAACATTTCACCAACCTATAGTATAAAGATCCTTGAACCAAGGTAGCTCCTATAAGTATAAACTGTCCTAAATGTCGTACAATATTTACATTCATTACTTAAGTAGAAGTAGAAGTCCTTTTTGAAAGTAGAAGTATCGACTCAAGTTTTTTACTCAGACAAAGATGTAAAAGCACTGATTTTAAAACTACTTAAAATGTAAAAGTAAAAGTAATGTAAGGAGGAAAAAAAGCCAGGATAAATGCTCGGGATATGCCACAGGGGGCTATGATGCACAACCC